CTAGAGAGCCCAGCACCTCTGCCAGGACCCCCCGAATGCCCTTTCACTTTCGGGTTTAGGGTTTAGGGTTTAGGGGTTTAGGGGTTTAGGGTTTAGGGGTTTCGGGTTTAGACTACCGTATGACCTTTGAAGCTGGAAGGTGGGTAAATGTACGGTATAGCAAGGGTAGTTGTGAGTCCAGGTGAACTTGTAAGTAAGCAGCCACATCGATTTCAAGGAATGTGCCATGTTAAGAGGCATTGGGCTCTCTTGCCAGTTGGCATAACTCTTCAGCTCAACCCAAGTACTACGGTTGATGATATAAATCCTGCCTTATCCACAATAAGGAATATACCATAATTCCCGTGGTTTAGGATCCTTAAGGTAATGCAGGATTTATATCATAAATAATAATATGAGGGTGCCTAGGTCGATTTTGTTCTCCAGGCCGCTATCCCTCACCAAGGGATGTTGGATGGATTTAGGGGTTGGGGTGCCCTAGACCGTAACCGCCGTCAGCCCCACCCCGAAACCCTGTATACCCTACACCCTAAACCCCTTACAGGACTCTAAAGGAACCTTTAAACGAAGCAATAAAGGAAACCCTCAACAAAAACGCGTAGGGGAACCCCTAAAAGAGCCTTCAAACGAGCCCTTTAAGGGACCCTGACCTCTTAAGTTCCCTCCTAAACCCTAAACCCCTTACAGAACCCTAAAGGAGCCGTTAAACGAACCCTTAAATAAGGAACCCTCACCTCCTAAGTTCCTTCCTAAAACAGAATCCTAAAGGAACCTTTAAACGAAGCTCCTGTCCAAACAAGGACCCTGCAATGTGGCTCTTGAGAAACGAATTCTTAACGGAACCCTGAAACCCAATATACGAGCCTTTATGATTACCAATACTATTTTGGGGATTTCCTTATTACAATTGTTAAGGCCCCTCCATTAACCCTGAGGGCCCAAGATACTGCCATTACGGAATTAGGCCCCTAAAGACCATTCTAAGGGTTTAGGGTTTCGAGTTTAGGGTTTCTAATCATGAGGCCTAGGTCCAGAATAGTCGTATATGTGGACGCTCTTGTAAATTCCTTCCTAAACCCTATTAAACCCTAAACCCTAAACCTTATAAACCCTCAACCTTAAACCCTAAACCCTGGACCCTAAACCCCAAAAACCCCTAAACCCTAAACCAAAAAACCCCTAAAACCCTAATTTCTCGAAGCCCTGAAAACCCTCACAGTCGAACCAGGGGCGAGTCCGAATAGTTGGGCTTAGGCGTCGATAAAGGGATCCGTTAAGGGGTTCCTTTAACGCCCTTTTTTGGTGATCTATAAAGGTGTTTGGGTTTTAGGGTTTAGGGGCTTTCCGGGCTTCAGGAATGATCGGGTTTAGGGCTTTATGGCTTTAGGGATTGAGTGTGTAGGGTAGGGCTCAGGTACGATTGATGTACTGCACAAACCGGAACCGCGAAACCTGACAAAGGAGCAAAGTGCTGTAAGACCTTTGCTACTGGCTACTGCTTGTGCACTTGTAGCTTTAGACGCACACAGGCAGTTGACCCTGCTGTAAGGTTGAGAGGACTTGTACAAGCGGTGTCACATATGCCCCAAGTGAACCCTACCCCCCCCCAGGTACCTACTATATAGGATACTAGAGCTCCTAGGGCCCTATATAGTAGGTACCTGGAGGCCTAGGGGAAGGTATCCAAATATTTGCGGCCCTTGCCTGCTGTTGTTTGGTGCACGGTTTCGTATGTGAGGATCTCCAGCACTCCACGGGCGCAATGCATCTAAAAGCCAGTGTTTTTGGTTTGGGAATCAAGGTCTGACCCGTATACAGCCTCTAAGCTCCCTATCTGGTTTCCTAAACCGTAAACCCTAAACCCTAAACTTAATGAAGCCTTTATGTCATCTAGTATGACCCGGGATTTCAACTCCATTGAGCTGAGCTGAGCCTGAGCTGCAGCTATAGGTTTCATTCAGCACCCTAAACCCGAAGCCCTAAACCCTGAACCCTAAACCCAAAACTTAGGGTTTAGGGTTTAAGGTTTGGACCAGGCTCTGATAAGACGTTGCAGGGTCTTGTTTTTGGCTCTACACAAGCAACAAAGGATGTATATCTGCAATCAGATGAAGAGCGTTTCCGTTTACATTGTTGACGAAAGTGACTGTCAGCTTGCCTGTTTGGCAAAATGTCTGTTGTGAGATACTTTTGGCTTTAATGGGTTCTGGGTGTTTTCTTTTGCTTTTGAGTTTCGGGTTCTCGGGTGTCCGAGGTACAAGGCACCTGGATTTCGGGCCCCAAGGTGTAGGCTTGCCGTGAACTGGAAGCCGATGATGGCACATGGAGCCGCTTCCTTGGTAGTGTTTTTAGAGGTATCGAGGGGTGTCATTTGCCGGGTATTTATAGCCCTTTTTGCTATTTTTCTTGCTAAGAACAGCTTTATACTCCCGCATAGTCTGTGGAGAAAGGAGGCTTTGCAGAGTTTGCAATGGTATGTGTGGCTTGTGGCTTCAGGAAATCAGAAAGGCTAGAGATACATTAGATGTCATATAGCATAGGATAGTCTATCTGCGTCTGCGCCGCTCAGAGCGCGAGTTTTGCCACACACTAAAAAAATCCACGCAGCTTGAAGGGCTGCGTTGCCGCATCAGATGGCATATGTCCAACGTTGAAGAATCTCTTGTTGCCCAGCGTTCCAACTAGTCTTACATGCCTGGCCTAAACCTTTGTGAACCACAAACTTAAGCCTTAAATGTTTCCTGAATCAACAAGAACACTATCTAAACTTGTTGCATACCCTCCTGTCCAGGGTTGAGCCATGATGCCCGCACGTTGCTTAGCTACCTGAGGATACAAGCTGCAGGCCCCAAAAACTCATAAACGCAAGCCACCTACACCCGCAGGGATGCTCCCTTTATTAACAGGACCCCCCCCCCCCCCCCACATATCCCGGGCCTTGAAGACTGAAATGGAAACACCGAAGCTTGTCTCCACCCGGAATGCGCCACTGCCGGAATCGCCAACAGGGAACCATTCAGCTCATCGAGCCGCACATCAAGGTCCTTTCACACCCTGTTGACAGTCGGCCACATTGGCCTTTATCGGGGACTGGGGATTGAATACGTTGAACACCAACCACCAGACTTATCTTGACAGGCCGACGATGTACAGGAAGAGAAAGAGAGAGAGGGAGAGAGACAGAGAGAGAGAGAGAGAGAAAAAAAAAGAGAGAGACAGAGATAGATAGATATATATATATGTATATATATATATAGAGAGAGAGAGCGAGAGACAGAGGCGGAGAGAGAGAGGGAGGGGGCAGGGAGAGAGAGAGATAGAGCGACAGAGAGGGAGAGAGAGAGATGGAGAGAGCGAGAGTGGGTGTTTTCAGCACCGTCCGAGCAGCTGATTCACCCCCCGCAACTTATCTTCAACATCCAGCGGTCTCAGCCCTTGATGTATCTGCAGCGTGGTGGCCAGCATGCAAGGCAAAGGTGCGGGCGTGGTTAGATGTAGCGTGCATTTTCAGTTCTGACAGAACACCGGTGTGCATAAGATCACTGGATGCAGCAAGAACTTTCAAGGCGAGATGAAGGTCAGGGGCGCGGAACTCAACGCTGGTTTCGGCTTGGGGTTCAGCCCGCAAAGAGTTTAGATTTCAAGCTCGACGGTTAGGGTTTCGGGATTACGATATGAGTGTCACAACAGGGTGCTGTGAACGAGTTCGTGAGTTGAACTTTTGTAAGTTCACTGCTTGCCGTCCCATTCGTAATAGCTACAATGGCGTTGTCAGTACTTTCCAGTGTCACTACTGATACCTAGATCTGTGGTTTTGCAGACTCTCGTACCTTCAAGCTGCTACCAAGTTGCTTGCCACACATGTCCTGTAAAATCTAGGCCTGAGCGAGTTTGACCCTACACGGAGGCCGCGGAAAGCATGCTCAACAGGGAATACTCGAATACCTTCCCACGGACCCGAGACCTGTCACGGAAACCCGAAAATGCCAAGCAGTTCACAACAACAAGTATGAATGGCGTAGGGTCCACATGTTCTCTTATTCCAGGACTTCTTCAAACAAGAGTTGGGGCTTGGCGATTTCGATTGGTGTTTCATGATCCATTCCTGTGCTTTCGGGGCCCGGGCTGTTGCTGCGCATGAAAAAAACAGTCAACCGAAAACAGGGCTCCAGAGCGCTATCCTGGTCTGACTTCACATTATAGGAGCCACATAGAGTAGCGTATTCCATTTAGTTTGTTGCTCAGTTCATCTTTTCAAATACACATATTGAAAGTGTAATGAAACCTGGAGTATTCAACACATTTCAATACCCTTCAAAGTACATAGAGCTTACAACTTCAGGGTTGGCTCGCCCAAGTTTCCAGCAAAATCTCTTGGATGTGGAGTTGACGGAAAAGGCTGGAGGTTGGGTTGGTTTTCATGGTTTAGGGAAGTTTCTGGGTGTCAGGCTCTAGGTCCGTATTTGGAGTCCATAGATTTATATGTTTTTTGTTGTTTGGGATTCATGGGATGGTCGAGGGAAATCTTAGTTGGAGCTGTGAATTTCTGCCGTTTCAAAGACCGCCGAGCCACGTTTCAACAAAACCGGCTTTACGTATAAAGAATTATTCCTAAAGCTAGTCCTTAGCGCTTCTTGTTCATTTTTAGTATACAGCTGCCCGAAACTTACATTTAATTGTTTCTGCTGCTATGCTACCCCCTAAGTCAAGGACTTCGCACATCCCCCACCTACCTGCAAGACTCCTTCATCTAGCATCTACGATTGGAATACTTTGCCGGCCACGATCGCGGTGTAGGGTTTTGGTTGGGTCTAGTAACCCCAAGCTATATAGTCTGCAGTTTCATCACCTGAGCCCAACTTTCGCGAACCTCTACACAGAGCCCACACCCTGAAACCCAGGTAAACCCTAAACCTCTAAAGATCACTTTAAAGGAACCTTTGCAATCCGTCTAAAGGAGCCTTAAACCCTTATTAGAACCCCTTAAACCCTGCATGAAGCTCTATGCCGCCTTCGCTCCCTTGCTGATCTCCACTGCGAAATCCGCACAGGCAGGTCCACTGCACTCGGGCTTAGGGCTCTTAGGGCTCTTAAGGCTAGGCCTAACGAAATTTTTCTAGGGGCTTTAAAGGGGTTTTGTGGCTTTAAGGGTTCAAGGTTTAGGGTTTCGGATGCCTGCAGGGAGTCTAAGGGTTGAATGATTTGAGGATGTTGGACTTGTGGCTGCAAGCGCAGAAAAAGACTTTGCCAAATAATATGCGGGCCTTAGTCATCAGAATAGGGTTTGGGGGGTATATTATACCATAAATAATAAGAAGGAACCCCCCGAAATTCTATTCTAATTACGAAGGCCCCTACCCTAAACCCTACAGTATGGATACCCGAAGGAAGACTTAGACCTAGAGAATGCAACTTCAGGACGAGTCTTACAAGAACTTGTCCTACAAGCTCGTTTGCTACACGGCGGAAACGGTCCTGCTGCAGCAGGACGCTGCTCTAATCCGTAAGTTTGACGGTTTAGGGTTTAGGGCTTAGGGGAAGGACGATGACGAAGATGAATATCCAGGATTAAAGACTGTACGTGAAGGGTGACCGAATCAATTCAAGGCGTCTGGTGGTGTGCAACATTTACCCTAAGGCTCAAAATAGCCCACAAGCCTTATGTAGTATGGTATTTGGGCCTAAAAGCCTTAGAATATGAGTCCTTACAGCCTTAGGGTTAGAGCATGTAACTCGCTCACAGGACTCTGTCTCGTGCGTCAACCGCACACTGGCTCTTCAGAATGGGCGGCACTCTTACAGGGTTTTGGAAAAGGGTTGAGGTTTTGGGGTTTCAAGTGAGTTAGACATTTGTTAGTTGAGAGTTTAGGGTGCGACATGCAAACTTGGAAATGATAGCACGACCATGTTCCTGCATAGTGGTACCAGAATGTACACCAAAAGCCCGTTCTTAATCATTGAGGCGCTCTGCCAGACCTTATAGAGACTTGGGAGCACCTTTGCGACAGCCCTATACATCAAGTTCTGATCCCAAAGGCTCCTAGGTACTGTTACGGGGGATACTTTCCCAAATCATAATATTTATTCTAATTTATTCCTTATATAGAAACCCTACATTCTACTATATAGGTACCTAGGACCCTTTGGGGATGGTTAAGGCTGAAGGTAAGGCCGCTAAACCCTACCTTAACACTCTTGGAAGGCAACCCATAGAGCCCAAAACCCCTAAACCAAGGAACATACCGGACATGTCTTGAAATAATATGGGTAGTTCTCTAAATTAGGGTCCCTTGTAGGGTCCTTTTTAGAAGGGTGCCGTACTATATTGGGGGCCTCAAAAGGGACCTAATTTAGAGAACTACCCATATCAATTAGTTGACCCCGTAGCCCTAAGCCCTTATAGCAGGGTTTGGGGTTTCAGAAACCCAATAAGATTCTTCTCTGGGCCAGGGTTTTGCGGCTTAGGGTTTGGGGCCCCTTACAGATGACTTGAACAAAAAAATGCATGCGGAATCATGGCCTCTTCATAGGTGTTCGGCTATGATTGACTTGCCTTTCGGGGTTTTTAGCTGGCGAGAAGTGCCAGAATGCCGTGCTGTTTTGTGTCGTGGCTTTTTCGACTGGTGGTACGGCAAGAGCATGAAACTCAGTAGCAGAATTACTACACTTTAAGCTTTTGGGGTAATATGATCCCTTCTAGAACTGAAGGTGTGCACTTTTTTGTGCTTGTGAACTCAGCAACTGAGTAGAACGTGCCGGCAGTGGGACACAGACACAACAGAGTTACCCTGACATGGTCCGTTCCCTTCGTGCTTCCACCCGAGACGCTCAAAGCATCGCATGGAGACCTTGGCAGTTGTGCTCGCAAGCCTCCAAAGCTCAGAAGCGGAGCGGTGCCCTCCTTGGAAGTCTGCCAGTGCACAAGGGTCCTATGCTTGAAGCCCGCATTTTGTTGGCTAGATTGTCGTCGAGCCGATTTACAGAGGCGGTGACAGCACAGATGGGAACCGGCGCAGTACGCTACATTTTGGATTTCCACCGTGCCGTTTCAGCCGCCATAGATGGAGTCCAGCATCCCATGGACTGTGCGAAATAGTAAAAGTGTAGGGATCTGCAAAATTTCCTGATCAGGGTGCCTTGAATGGGTTCTATAGAACTTGCAGCGGTTCTATATGGGTGGAACTTAAACTAAATTACTACAAAACGGAAACCTGTTTATTTCTATGTATGGTAAGTTGTCTTATAAGTGGTTATAATAAGGAAACCCTGTTATTTGCTATGTCTTCCCCGTATGGTAGCTTAAACTAAGTTCCTTGACAGCAGCCCAGCTTAGGGATCTGCAGAAGTTACTATTGAGGGTGCCTTCAGCCGCCACGGGATAAACAAAAGCCGGAGTATTGAATCACTACTGAACCAAGCCTTTTGCGATCACAGAGTTTATACTACTATAGGATTCTGAACTGACCGCCCGCGGTGTCCGTCGCATGTGAGAGGTGCCCTATTTATATAGACGGCAACAAACACTGAACCACACCCCTCAAAACTGCTGATTCTCGGGGATGACCCTGTAGTACTAAGCTTCAGGGGTCGGAATAATTGGTAGGAGTATCCCCAATCCCAAGTGCTGAGATGTGCGGAACCGGCGGGAAGTTCTGTTTACGTGATCGCTGATTGCTTCGGCATCATCGTCGCCCTCCTCACGGGCAGTTTTGGCACATTTTGGCACATTTTCGGCGGGAGCCCTTGCGGGACTCTCCGGCCGCATATCTTCATGGCAGACGCGTTGCTCGTACATAAGTACAAGGCGTGCCTCCTGCCGTTCGCACTGAGCTGTCCCGTCCCGAAGAGAGCACGGCACTGACGAAGCCCTTTGCACATATGTCGGCTGTTCAATCCTGAAAAGGTCGAACAACACCACCCTATAAACCCTAACACCCCAAAAGGTCCGCAGATCTGTTCACGGAGCCCGTTATTAAGACCCTTACTAAACCCTCAGGGGATCTAGCAACACCACCGTAGACCTCAAACCGTTAACCCCAACGCCCTAAATCCTAAACAGCCTTAAACGCTAACGCCCTAATCCCGAACACCCCAAAAAGGTCTAGCAACTAAAGCCCCTGTCAGGAACCCTCTAAAGACCCAAAACAAACATCCTCAAACTCTGTCAAATGTCTAGCAACGCCCCCACCCCGAACCCTAAACCCTATACCCTAAAACCGCAAGAGGTCTAGCAACACCGCCTTAAAGCACAAACTCTAAACATCCCTAAACCCAACACCCTACGGTTGATGATATACACCCTGCATTACCCCATAATCAGGAATACACAGTTATTCCCATAGTTTAGGGTCCTTAAGGTCATGCAGGATTTATACCATCAAAAGTATGTCCCATGATCCTTTAAGCATGCCTCAACCACCCTAATGGTACCACTTATAGACCCCCTAAGCCCTAAACCCTAAACCCTAATCCCCTAAACCCTTAAAACACTAAGCCCTAAACCCTGAAAAGGTCGAGCAACACCTTCGTCGGCTCTTTGGCCTGCTACGGCAAAGCCTGGTGCCCTGGCGCTGGTGCCTCGGCCGATCCGGAGGTCTCAGGCTTCCTTTTAGGGTTCCTTTAAGGGCTTTAGGGTTCCTTGCAGGGTTCTCTAAGGGTTCGTTTTAGGGTTTAGGGTTAAGGGATTAGGGGAGTTAAGGATTTGTTCGGGCTTAGGGTGGGATTTAAGGTTTATATAGGATTTAGGGTTCGGGTTCCAGGGTTTGGGGTTTCGATAGAGTTGAAGGCTTTGGGTTTGATGGGTTGAAAGTTTTACTTTCCATGAGATCTCCTACAAAGTTTCATAAGGCCTTGACGGTTTGGCAGATTTGTGTTAGGGCTTTCTGTGGTTTCTTGCGTGTTTCGATGCGGTCGCTATACAGGTTTCAGGCAAGGTTTCTGGGTTCTAGAGTACCTGGTTCATTGCCGCCAGGAGATGACAACCCACAGCTGAGCCGACTACGGACGACCAGCAGTCTCATCACCTACGTTGGAGGCAGGACCCTGAATCACTGTACCCAAAGCCCTCAGACCTTATAAGACAATAAGCCATTAAATCTGCTGGGATAAAACATGCTCAAAAATACTAAAAACTCTTTATAGACCCCTGAACCCTGAACCCTAAGCCTTTTCAGGAATCAAGGTTCGGGGCCCAACCTTAAAATTCCATGCTCGGAGGTCAGAGCGCTAAGAGAGCTGGGTTTTACCTATAGACCATACTTGGAGGATCGTGGGGCTTAGTATGTAAGCTTATAAGTTCCGCGACTAGGGTTGTAAGGTTTCGGTCTAGGTATAGTAAAAGCCTATTTGGTATCCCGAATTAGTTACTATGTCCCATGATCCTTCAAGTAAGGGTCCGTGTATCTGAATAGCATACACTTTGGTCCTAAAGCATTTATATAAGGACTACCTTCTCAGGGTACCTACGTGTCTATACTTGCACAGACCCAGCCATGACAGTAGGTATCCTAAATTAACAAGGGTAGGGTACGACACGTCGAAGCAGGGTTGAAAGGTTTTCAATTCAATTCCCATACAGGGCTTCTGGCTCCTTGTTGGCTACGATTACATGCTTGCTATAGTAAAAAAACCAATGAAGATTCAAAGTGATCATGTTTAATATATCCCCAACAGGGAACCAGGCTTATAGGCAAGGTCGCTACACTGAGGCGTAGACTGGTGTGATGTAAGTCAGTCAACTACAGGCTTCATGGTCGGTGTGGGGGAGCTTGTGGGAAGACGCCCACTAAACCCTCAACCCCGAAAACTAAACCCTAAAACCTTAACCCTGAAACTCTAAACTCTCTCCTAAACCCTAAACCCTTAAAGCCTAGATCCTAAGCCCGGAAAGTTGAGCAATCCTTAGCTCGCAACTTTGTTTACAGTTTAGAGGCCTAGATAACTAGCAATGCTACTCTTCATGGTCCCTTAAAGTGTTATGCTATGCTTTACCCCAAACCCTGTTCTCATCATTAAGTCTTCTTAAGGCCAATCCCGTTTTTTGTTGCAAAGTCCATGCTGAGCGGTGCGTCTATGTGGACTGCAAGCCCCTGCAAGACTTTGGGTTGCTAAAGCCCGCAATCAATTAAATATGTAAGTTCATCAACATCTAAGTAGCTTGAGCTACTACTACTTGCTTTGTAATTATACATGGCTTAGGATTCAGCTTTGTTCATTGAAAGACCTGTGTATGTCTGTTTGTGTTTCTTTGTGAATGTATGTATGGCTAATCGCTTCCCCATTTTATTACGCACCCCCCTAATAATTATGCATGCATTGGGGTGAATCCTCCCGAAATCATCCCTGCCCTTTAACACCTATTCTGAATTAGGGGGGAAGGTTTCGAGGCTTATAAGAGCAAGAGCCAAAGCAAGAGGAAGATTGCATGCTTGGTTCCTTATTTCCTAGTTTTCGTGTGTGTATGAACTTGTTTGTTTGTCTGTCTGATTACTCGTGTGCTTCTGTGCTTGCTTGTGTGTTTATATGTTTGTTGGTTGGTGTGCTTGTGTCTACACAAAGACACGCATGCGCATCCTTTAGTTTTTTGACTATAACCTATATCATGTCCTTTAGCCCCAGACCCTCAATACCTAAGCTCAAACTCTAAACTCCTAAACCCTAAACTCAAGGTCTCAACTTAAAGTTTAAGCCCTAAACGCCTAAACCTTAAACCCTGGACTTCAAGTCTAAGCCCCAAACTCCCAATCCCTAAACCATTGTTTGAAGGTCTAAAACCCTAAACTCCTAAT